TTTTACAGTTCAGTACGGGTCAGCTGACCCTTCCCTGAGTCATGTTCTGTGATTTCTCAATAAAATAGCTTAGAAACTGAAAAGTTCAAGCATATATTTCTTAATAACTAAATCCCACAGCTTCACTACAAGTAGAGAGACGCTGCCAGGTAGAATTAATTCACACATGCAATCGCTCTCACTAATGCATTCATATTAATGTAATCTTTACTGTGCTACTTTATCTGTATCCGATTTAGAATGAGCAGAAATCTGTGAGAAATATAACGACCCAAAGAAAAAAGAACTGATAAAAAAGCTGTTATAGAAGCAACAGTCATGTGGGCAGCGCTGTGTCATATATGCCATAGCTGTGAACAAGGTGTTTGTCACAACTCCAGACTTATTTGTTCATTAATGACGTCATCAGCGACTAGTCGACTTCGACTCGACTTTCATCACATAAAAGTCGACTTCAAAAAAATCAGAAGTCGTTCAGCCCCTAGTGCAAACTAAAAAATGCTATTGTATGGTGTTAATGTACAAGATTAGACATAAAATCAAGAGTCTTCAGACAGATGTATAAATTTCAACGTTTATTTATCAAATGGGCAAAGTGGCTACTTTAAAACATATATCAGATGTGTAGAGGTTAATTAGTCAGCCACATTCATTAAGTGTGGCACAGAAACATAAAATAGTTAATAAAACACAAAATCATCAAATTTACCTAGACACGAACAAATATGACAGGTAGATTTGACAGTTGTGTAGCATCCATGAATGATGTTCCTCGTCCCATCAGCGAGCAGGTATGGCTGTGTGGTCTCTTCTATGCAATCAAGCTGTTCTTCTTGTTGGTGCCTGCAGATCAAAGACAAAAATAACACTCAAGGTCAGCTCTCCAACTGATTTTATTTACATTAGTCTTTCATATACAACCCATCTGGCAATATTTTGAGGCAGACAATAGGTAGTGACAGAAATGTCCAAATGTACCTTTTTGAAGATGTTTTTCAGCTTGATAGGAGGACATGTTTCCAGGTCCCTTGCAGCCTTGTGGTGATGGTGGAATCAAATGAAGAAGGAGACCAATTGATGCAATATCACTGTCCCTTTCTAAATAACAGATATGACAACTTTAGCAAAAAAATGCATGAACACAGAATATAGATAAAGCATTAATATAGATAATCTTATTCAGAAATATAGTCTAACCTTAGACATCAGTTTCATCCTCCTTTACAGCTGATTCCGAGGTCAATTGGGTCCTTGAAGGTCTTGGGAGAAGCCAGGAACTTGGCTTCTTGAAAAGAAAAAACAATTAATGACAACAATATCTCTCTCAGGAACCATTCTGCTAAGTTGATTGTGTAGTCACACAGTGGCTCTGTTCACACCTGGCATTAGCACGTATCTTGGGTGACGCATATGGCCACATTCTTTTATTACAGGGTTAGTTGAAAAATGAAAATTTCATCAGTTTACTCAGCCAAGACTTTTGCTGTCTTTGAAACACAATTGAAGATATTAGAATATAAGATTTCTGTCCCTTGAATGACGGTCCAAGCCACTACCACTTTGATACTTCATAAACTTCATAAAGAGATCTAATCCATAAAGAGAACTAATCCATACGTATCGTGGTTTAGTCCAAATTTTCTGTTTTTCTGTTTATGTTCCCTGATCAATGTTTAAATGTGAAATTTTTTTTTAATTCTGTTCATTGTAAAGCGATCGAGTCTCTTCAGAAAATTTGGACTAAACCGCTCGATTCATTTGGATTAGTTGTATGATTTCTTTATGAACTTCTTGAAGTATCAAAGTGGTAGTTGTGTAGGTTGTCGATTTTCTCATTTAAAATGTCTTCATTTGTGTTTTGAAAATGAATGCAAGTCTCGCAGGTTTGGAATGACAGAGAGTGAGAAATAATGACAATTTTTCATTTTTGGGGTCAACTAACCATTTATCTTTTTGCAGTTTGATATCTTAAATTAATAATTAGCTAATTCCAGGTGTGAACATAAGCTGATATTGTGTGCCTGCCCAGTTAAACTTTAATTTTTCATATTCATTTGTGCGTTTTAAATTTGTACTGCACATAGAATAACATATAAATGACAGACTCACAATTCTGGCTTCATCTTCAGCATTCTGCTCCTTTCTTGAAGGGCTTCCATCACTCACACTCAGTGTCATCAGACTCCCAGTTTGCAATCTTATGAGAGGAGCTACCTTCACTTGACACTGCAGAAGTCTGAGCCAATTCTATTGAAAAAGGATAAAAAAAAAAAACACTAATTTCAGTCATTTAAATTTACATTAGGACTGTAAATATGGTAAAATAATTGTGATTACCCCTAATTTTGAGTATGCTGAGAACTGTCTATAATACGAGTGTCAAATCGTAAACTTATTTTTTATTTTTTTACATACTTCATTCTAGGGTCAATTAAATGAAACATTGTGCAATATTCACATGGAGGCCTGAAACAATTTAAGTATTTATTTAATCTGATTATTGAATACATTTGTATAATTTTAATGAGTAACACGAGTAATAAGGCATCTTAAAATTAACAGTGTACTACATTAGAATAAATTAACACGTGTTAAGAATTTATCTTACTAGTAATTTATTATTTATAATGTGAAAAGAAAATACAGATAGATTCAGACATATTTCTTCATTAAAACTTAACTTTGTATATCAAGAAATATTTAGGACATTATTTAACCCAAAATAGCATGCCATATGAATTGATTAAGACTGGTTTCAAGCTAAAGTACCTGCATGCTCTGCCAGTGGGCACTGAAGGAAATTGAAAGACTGACGGATTTACAGTTTAACGTACCATTAACTCACTTTCACGATGCTTGCATAAACTTAATTGTCATAAGAAAAACTTGATGGTAGCGCGTTTGCGTCTTGACGCAGATATGACGACATGACATACATGATGTTCAGCACTGAGAACAAGCAACGTACAGATTACGCAGTTCACACTTAAGCCTATGGCGAATGGAAGTTTTTTAACGCGCTCTAATTTCAGAGTTTTGCATTGGATAACGTCAATCAAATGACTGGTAAATGTTCCGCGTTATGCCAGCTCTGTCTGCAGAAAGACTGCTCGTTAGCAGCGCGCGAGACAGACACTTCAACACGGTGTCATGCGTCACAAAAACTAAATTGTTAGCGCGTAATGTTTAACAGTCCCACTATTACCGTTTCAAAGCATGGAAACAGCGAAATGCCACACTCAATGCTTTCAAAAACAAATATAAATTTACCATTTGATGAATTCTCTCATTTGAGTAGAAAACCGCCCAAATGTGGTTGCTTCAGACTTCAGTGCCAGACTCGTAGTAAAACCAGGCCTCGGCGGGAATGAAGGCGAGAGGACGTGTCAGCGAACCAAAATGAAAGAAGCTAAAAGCAAATACAACATAAATTGTAAGCACATTCAAAAAAGTTATTTTACAAGTAACATTAATCACCTTTTTTCAGGAAATCGAACCGGCATGAGAAACTTTCACACTCTTCTGTAACTTAACGTTACATCTCTGCACCTCACGAACACGAACTTTAAACCTGACAAAAACACACGCAGTTAGTCATTTCTAAATGTGTTCACCACCAATCATATTTTGAGTAAAATTACCAACAAAAATGTTTTTCCCGTGTACTTTTATAAAGAAAAAAGCTATCCAAATGACCTTCTCAGTCGCTTGAAGAAAAAATAGCGTCGTCGCTTCCCGAGGCAGCAGTCATTGAAGGGCGGAGTCCAGACAATTCGGCGGGTTTTTTATTCCGCACTTTTAGTGTAAAAGTGTAATTACACCATATAACAACACTGAACACGAGTACTGTTTAACACTGTAGATTGTTAATTCAATTCTTTAGGAATTAATAACTTTTAACACTGCAAATATTACACTGCTGATTTTACTGTGTGAGCTTTGCTGTCTTCTCCCCATGTTCTTTTCTCTCCTGTCTCTTCTTACAACCACTTTTATGTTTGAATGGCATGCTTAAGTCTGCTCAGCTAATCTGTTTGTTTATCAGATGATGTTTTTAACCTAGCTGCCAGAGTATTGTCGTCTTGTCACATGATCAAATAGAGATTTAAGATTGGACTGTCATGACCCATTTCTGCAGATCTAGTAATTTTTTTATATCTTAATTTAAAAAATAAATAAATAAAATACATTTGTAATGCTATACGTTGTGTTACATTACCTCGACAGTGAATGACAAAAAACAAATTAGCACTGCTAATATCTCTCAATATTTTTTCTCCTCTTTTGGAAAGTCGTGGAAATGACATGTAACAAATAAAACAAGACTATTCATTCTGTGGAATATTTTTAATAGTTATTTGCAGGTGGGACATGTCCCCACCACCCCACCACGCCACCTCTTTTACAACATCGTAAATAGTTGCCGCTGTTATCAGTTCTCTCTTGGCACTCGTGCACAATACGCAGTCTTCACACAGACGATCGAGCGCTTCATTCTGGTAAAAGCACAAAACAAAATGCACACAATGTGTCCTTGCTCTTGATATACAATCACTGATGAACACCTTGGGTTTTAATGAGAAAAAAAACTACAAGAGGGTGGATTAGAACCCAGAACCTCAGAAATGCTTGACAAAAATGTTACCACTAGACCATCAAAGCATTGTTAGTATGTTTATTTATATTAATATAGTCACTTTGTTGCCAGGGGCCCCGCTTGCAATGTGGGCAGGGCCCCAAATTAATATCTATAGAAGCAGCAACATGCCATGTGAAACTATAAGCTCATGCCATTTTGAACAGTAAAGAATTAAATGCAAAGTGTTCCCTGCTGTGCACAACTTTCCTGTGTACTTCTGTTTTGCTGTAGCTCACTCTGTGGCCTGCATCGTTTTATTTTTTATTTTTTTTATAGTAATATGCTTTGCTATTGAAAAGTGATGTAAAATTTACCATGTCTCTCTTTGTCTATTCCTGCTTTCCTTTTCTTGTTCAACTAGGATGTTTCCCTAAGTGTCCTTCAGATAAGCCATATATGAATGAGGCAACAATGAAGTGTGTTCCATCTTGTACAAATTCTACAACACCTTCTATAACCACATCAACAACAACAGCATCAACATCAACGGAGACACCTACAACCACTTCCATTACTACAACAGCTACTGTAACAACAACATCTACTGAGACAGGAACAACACCACCTACAACTCCTACAACACCAACATCAAGAGAGACACCTACAACCACTTCCATTACTACAACAGCTGCTGTAACAACACCATCTACAGAGACAGAAACAACACCTTCTGCAACTCCTACAACACCAACATCAACAGAGACACCTGCAAGCACTTCCACTACTACAACAACTACTAAAACAACAATATCTACAGAGACAGGAACAACACCAACTTCAACAGAGAAACCTACAACCCCTTCCACTACTACAACAACAACATCTACAGAGACAGGAACAACACTTTCTGCAACTCTTACAACACCAACATCAACAGAGACACCTACAACCACTTCCACCACTATAACAATTACTGTAACAACAACAACACCTATAATATCTTGTAACCCCACCTATGGTTGTAAGTGGTCGAACTGGTCAGACAACAGCCGACCCAGTGAAGAACCCAAAGGACTGGAAACCGAACCCATTGATGCTTTGTTGCCTTTTCAAAACATGAGCTGTCAGAAAGTAGAAGAAATTGAATGCAGAGCAGTGGATTATCCAAATACACCCTTGAGCGAGTTGCAGCAAACCGTGCATTGCAATACATCTTATGGCCTGTTGTGTTCAAATAAAGAAAATGTAGGTCATATGATACCAATTTGTTTCAACTATGAAATACGTGTATGTTGCTGTCCTCCACCCTCTATTTCGACTACAACATCTACTGTAACAACATCTACAGAGACAGAAACAACACCTTCTACAACAACAACATCAACAACGGAAACACCTACAACCACTTCCACTACTACAACTACAACATCCACAAAGACAGGAACACTACCTACAACACCAACATCAACAGAGACACCTACAACCACTTCCACTACTACAACAACTACTACAACAACAACATCCACAGAGACAGGAACACCACCTACAACACCAACATCAACAGAGATACCAACAACCACTTTCATCACTACAACAACTACTGTAACAACAACATCTACAGAGACAGAAACAACACCTTCTACAACAACAACGTCAACAGAGACACCTACAACCACTTCCACTACTAAAACTACAACATCCACAAAGACAGGAACACTACCTACAACTCCTACAACACCAACATCAACAGAGACACCTATAACCACTTCCACCACTACAACAACTACTGTAAAAACAACATCTACAGAGACAGAAACAACACCTCCTACAACTCCTACAACCCCAACATCAACAGAGACACCTACAACCACTTCCACCACTATAACAACTACTGTAACAACAACACCTACAATATCTTGTAACCCCACCTATGGTTGTAAGTGGTCGAACTGGTCGGACAACAGCCGACCCAGTGAAGAACCCAAAGGACTGGAAACCGAACCCATTGATGCTTTGTTGCCTTTTCAAAACATGAGCTGTCAGAAAGTAGAAGAAATTGAATGCAGAGCAGTGGATTATCCAAATACACCCTTGAGCGAGTTGCAGCAAACCGTGCATTGCAATACATCTTATGGCCTGTTGTGTTCAAATAAAGAAAATGTAGGTCATATGATACCAATTTGTTTCAACTATGAAATACGTGTATGTTGCTGTCCTCCACCCTCTATCCCGACTACAACATCTACTGTAACAACATCTACAGAGACAGAAACAACACGACCTACAACACCAACTTCAACAGAGACACCTACAAGCACTTCCACCACTGTAACAACTACTGTAACAACAACAACACCTATAATATCTTGTAACCCCACCTATGGATGTAAGTGGTCGAGCTGGTCGGACAACAGCCGACCCAGTGAAGAACCCAAAGGACTGGAAACCGAACCCATTGATGCTTTGTTGATTTTTCAAAACATGAGCTGTCAGAACGTAGAGGAAATTGAATGCAGAGCAGTGGATTATCCAAATACACCCTTGAGCGAGTTGCAGCAAACCGTGCATTGCAATAAATCTTATGGCCTGTTGTGTTCAAATAAAGAAAATGTAGGTCATATGATACCAATTTGTTTCAACTATGAAATACGTGTATGTTGCTGTCCTCCACCCTCTATTTCGACTACAACATCTACTGTAACAACATCTACAGAGACAGAAACAACACCTTCTACAACAACAACATCAACAACGGAAACACCTACAACCACTTCCACTACTACAACAACTACTACAACAACAACATCTACTGACACAGGAACAACTCCACCTACAACTCCTACAACACCAACATCAACAGAGACACCTACAACCACTTCCACTACTACAACAACTACTACAACAACAACGTCCACAGAGACAGGAACACCACTTACAAAACCAACATCAACAGAGATACCAACAACCACTTTCATCACTACAACAACTACTGTAACAACAACATCTACAGAGACAGAAACAACACCTTCTACAACAACAACGTCAACAGAGACACCTACAACCACTTCCACTACTAAAACTACAACATCCACAAAGACAGGAACACTACCTACAACTCCTACAACACCAACATCAACAGAGACAGAAACAACACCTTCTACAACAACAACATCAACAATGGAAACACCTACAACCACTTCCACTACTACAACAACATCTACTGACACAGGAACAACACCACCTACAACTCCTACAACACCAACATCAACATCAACAGAGACACCTACAACCACTTCCATTACTACAACAACTACTGTAACAACACCATATACAGAGACAGAAACAACATCTTCTACAACAACAACGTCAACAGGGACACCTTCAACCACTTCCACTACTACAACTACAACATCCACAAAGACAGGAACACTACCTACCACACCAACATCAACATCAACAGAGACACCTACAACCACTTCCACTACTACAACAACTACTACTACAACAACATCCACAGAGACAGAAACAACACCTTCTACAACAACAACGTCAACAGGGACACCTTCAACCACTTCCACTACTACAACTACAACATCCACAAAGACAGGAACACTACCTACAACTCCTACAACACCAACATCAACAGAGACACCTACAACCACTTCCACTACTACAACTACTACTACAACAACATCCACAGAGACAGAAACAACCCCTTCTACAACAACAACGTCAACAGGGACACCTTCAACCACTTCCACTACTACAACTACTACTACAACAACATCCACAGAGACAGAAACAACCCCTTCTACAACAACAACGTCAACAGAGACACCTACAACCACTTCCACTACTACAACTACTACTACAACAACAACAACATCTACAGAGACAGGAACAACACCTTCTGCAACTCCTACAACACCAATGTCAACAGAGACACCTACAACCACTTCCACTACTACAACTACTACTACAACAACAACAACATCTACAGAGACAGGAACAACACCTTCTGCAACTCCTACAACACCAATGTCAACAGAGACACCTACAACCACTTCCACTACTACAACTACTACTACAACAACAACAACATCTACAGAGACAGGAACAACACCTTCTGCAACTCCTACAACACCAATGTCAACAGAGACACCTACAACCACTTCCACTACTACAACTACAACATCCACAAAGACAGGAACACTACCTACAACTCCTACAATATCAACATCAACAGAGACTCCTGCAACCACTTCCATTACTACAACAACTACTGTTACAACAACATCTACCGAGACAGAAACAATACCTTCTGCAACTCCTACAACACCAACTTCAACAGAGACACCTACAACCACTTCCACTACTACAACAACTACTTTAATAACTACATCTACACAAATAACATATTCTGTAACTGTTTTAACTAAACCTACGGTGTCAGAGACATCAACCACAATCTCCACTGCATGGACTACAGTACCATCAACATCATCTACTATTATTTCTTCAACCAAGTTCACTGTGCACACAGAGCCACCACCCAACTCCACATCACCTGGACCTCAGATAGTAAACAGTACATCTACACCTACAACCAGCAGTAATCCTACCCCATGTTCCCAAAAGGTAACCAAATCAGAAAAAAATGCACATCATATACTATTGGGCTAAGTATTGGCCTAACATTTATTAGTTTTAAAGTATTATGGCTTGTTTCCATCGAGCGGTATGGGCCAGGACAGTACAGTACAGTACGATTCGGGACCGAACACCCTTATCCAGCTTGCGTTTCCACTGCCATCAGTACCCTTACTTGATAGGCGTGGTGTATGCTGGAAAGTAGCGATCGATGATAAAGCGTGACAATAAGCACAACTCTGTCTCTTTTTTGTCAGTTTTATTGAACAATAATAGCCATTTGTAATGAAATTAACTCATTAATTGTAGAAGGGAATTAATTATTATTATTAATTCAGGTTTTGAGAGGACTAGGATCTGAAGAGCCTAATTCAACCTGATTAGAACTAATTCTAAATTTGATAGTTTACACTTTAAATCAAGGGTCGTCCAGCGAGCCGGTGATTCTTAGTATATTTTAACAAATTAAATATGTGTTTTCCTGGCCACGGTCAACACAATTATGATAATTTGTAAGCTCTTAGAGAGGTAATTATTATGATTAAGCTACGAGCTAGGCAGCAAGCAAGGGATCTTTTTGGCAACAGTTTTAACCTTGAAATTATATGACACCAACAATGATTCTTTATAAATGAAACATGAATTTTATTGGCTATTCCAGATTACATCAAAACTAGGCTAAAACTCACAAACATACACACACACACGGAGTTGCATGACGTTCAAAGTTCTAACTCGTTTTCACAAGTGATTAAAATTCACCTGAGAGACTTCACAAAGCAGAGAATTTGTCTTAATTTTACTGCTTAAATTAGCTCGAAACCAGTTCAGCAGAGATAAGATTTTGTTTGTTATTTGCATTCTGCTTGGTTTCCTGGATGTCTGCTGAGGGAACCCCGTTGCTGATTGGTCGCTGAGGTGACGTCGGAATGACGTCCTTTGGAAAAGCCCTCCGGAGATTGGTTGGCTTCTTTATGACGCGGAGCCTTCAGCAGTTTTGCTACAGTCTGAGTTTGCGTTAAGTTCTTTGAAGATCGTGTTTCTCTGAAGTGTTTGAGTTTTGGATAAACTATCGCTTTGATGGTAAGCATGGGAGCACAAGGTGGGAGTGCTCTTAACACGGCGACAGGCGAGAGCAAGCAAGCAAATCTGTTCTGCATTGGGTTTTGTGATCCGCGCATAAGTCCGTCCCACGACGCAACCTTCCAATTGACTTGCTGCAAGGCGGAGCTTGCATACATTACCATAATGCTTCAATTTATCATGTGGGGAAATGAAGATTTGCAGGTTTTGTAATAACTTCTATATAGTGTCGTACAACACATACTGTTTCGAAATAACAGCTTTTCACTTATTTCAGTATTCTGCAATTATCACAAGCTTACGTTCAACACTAAACTTCACATACTTTACACATATTAAAGGCCTTATTTCCTCAAAAGGGTAATAAACACTGATTAATTTTGCACCGATTACATGAACACATCAAGCATGTACATATACAAGACATACAACATATTATTTGTGAATCTATTGCTCCGAAACTTTCAATAGTTTTCAATGAATAGTCTGTGTGAGTTCGTGTCCTTTGTCTTGGAATGCAGGGGGAAAGGGGAGGTGTCCTGAGGTCATGCCCATGTCACGAGTTGGGAGTCTGCCAATTTTCTCCTGGACAGAGAGAGTTCTTAATCTGTCACTTTCTGTTTATCGGATTTAGCAATTTATGTGTTAAATGGTCAGGGGTTTCACCCATCTGGTCCTTGAAAGCCCGTAAAACACTTTTAAGCACTGTTTAAGCACTGTCTTTTATTAGAGTCTCTTGAGAGATACGCTAAATAGTCCAGGAACTGCTGCAACCTTTCACTGACCCTGCATGAGTTTTACGACCGCAGCTGGTTGCAGAGGAGTGCCTCAGTTTGTCTTAATAGACTGTGTTTGTTTCATGTGTGGATTCAATGGTGTAAGTGGGTCCGTGCGAAGACAGAGATCCTACACATTATAAAAGTATAAGTACAAAGTATAAGAGGCTTTTATAAAAGGAAATAAATACAAAAGCAAACAATTTAGTCAAACGTATGCTACAAAGTCAGCGCTGTACTACGGTAAAGTTCAAAATAAATATATAAAGTTAAATATATAAAGCCAAAACTATATAACCAGGAACAAATAATAGATTCATGAGACCACAAATGCCTGTTAAATATACCCAAAACGAATTGTATCTCATGTTTAATCACTACAAAGACATCAGAGCCAGCGGCAAATATCAGAAGGACTTGCCGAGCTAAGGCTGCTCTATGCGGATACATGAGCACTGTGTGTCCAGTGATCGCCTGGAGCTCCGAAACCGGCATAGCAAATTTTCAAATAGGCACTATCTTTATAAATAAACCACAGATTTGAGTTTTAAACAACTACATTCTCGCCTGAAACACTCTTTAAACTAAATTTCATGACACAATAACAGTAATATTTTGAGGGTTTTTGGGCAATGACGTTTCACAAGTCAACAAGAACAGACCAGAACGCATATTGAGAAATGGCTTTTGTCTGTGTGAAAATATAAAATTATAAAATACACTGTTATATTTTTTTTATGTTTGTGCACTCTGATGTAAATAAGCCCAACACTCATGGACAGCAGAGCAGAATGTGAAGGAGAAGCTTTATTCCCTTGTATCACACAAAAGTAACGATTCTAGTCAACCAATCAACTTTCTGCGGTGAGTTTAGCTCCACACATTTGGTACCCTTTTCTGTGCTAGGTACCCCAACAGAAGGGTACCAAAAAAGTGGTACGGTAAGGTTTTGGTATTTTGGTACCATTCACAACTTCTGACAATGGAAACGGACATAATTGAGTACCGTTCCATACTGTACTGAACTGTACCGCTCGGTGGAAACGAGCCATTAGTGGTGCTTTCTACTGCCAGTATTTAGGACACATCCCTAACCCTGTTTCCAGTGTGTAGCTCGTTCTACACCCTTTTGGGCTTTAGACATGAATGAGAGCTGAAATCATGCCCTTTCTCAGCACCGTTTAGTCAACTTTTAAAAAAAAGTTTTATTAAGTTTATAAAAAAAATAAAAAAAAGATTTAAGCTTATTAAGTTTTTGTTGTTGTTGTTGTTTTAGTACACTTTTAATTAAGCATCTCAATCCCTATACAGTGTAAGCCAACAGATGCAATCATACCTGACTGTGTCAATGGACATTCACCTGAGAAAGTCTATTATAACAACGGGTGCTGTTCCAAGTATGAGTGTCCTTGTGAGTTTAAACCATGAAATTGGTATATTATTAATATTATTCCTAATGGTAATTTAAATGAAATACCTATATGCATTGGAAATGCATTGTATTTAACTTTGTTTTAAATCTTTTTCTAATACAAAAGGTAGATGCACCAGCTGGGGGGACCCTCATTACCAAACCTTTGATGGAAAATATTACACTTTCCAGGGAAATTGCACTTATGTTTTGTTCCAAGAAATCATTCCAAGATACAATATCAGTGTCCATGCTAAAAACTATTATTGTGATGAAAAAAAAAATTTAGCCTGCCCTGAGTATGTGATTGTGAACTACAAATCTTATAAAATCAAGCTAACAAGCAACACTAAAGTGGTCCAGGTGAGTGTCACGACTTTCACACAAATCTATTCACAAACAAAATGTAAAACATATCTTGCTCTAGATCAGTGATTCTTTTTTTTTAATGTCCAGATTTTCCATCAAGTGGCGACAAAACACTGTACCAAAATTGTGTACCATTGTCAAAAATGTAACAGGGAGACATAGTCATCATCCCTAAATATCTCTTGAGATTAGTTGGTTTTGTACACTTAGCAGCCAGTTGTTCACTGCATAAAATGCAATGGAACACACAAGCCATGTGTATTCTCATTTAATTTGAACCATATTTAATGTAATGATGTAATGGGAAGTATTTTCTTTTACCTTGCAAAATTTTTCTCATGAATGACCAACCTTCATCAACAATGAAGGTAGGTCACATAACATCCATGTTAGCATCAGCCGTATTTGGAAAAGCATTTCTCCTGCCTTTTAAATGTGGTAAAGTTGCTTAGTTTGCTTTCCTAATTATGCATAATATGGATGTGCATAGTTGCACATCATTTAGCATTGTTATTCTCTGCTGTCCACAACTGTCAAAATAGACTTGAGATCAATTTAATGGACTGCGACCCACCAGTTGAGAACCAGTGCCCTCGTGTTGTTCATGGCACATTGCAAAATAACATAGTATTCTAGTGCATGATTTTCATCATGACTCCAAAATGCCTTGTTTCCCACAGGTTTATGTTAACGATGTTGTGATGAAGCCAACAATCCAACTGGGAAATATAATCATCACCACTACTGCCATTACAGTGCTTGTGAATGTATCTGATATTAAAGCTGAGATTTTAGTCAGTAATCAAGGTGTTTCTGTCAAACTCCCATTCTCTTACTTCCATGGTAATACTGAGGGACAATGTGGTGAGTACAGATCTGATATCTCTTGGCATAAAATGATAATGATAAATAAATTAGTTTTTATCTGTCTGTTGGACCTTTACTAAAAGATCAGTATATCAAAACTCTGCCTGAATGTTTATTTGTTTATTCAAATTATCTGGTGACTTGGTGTCTGCAACCTGATCTAGTATAATTGAAGTTTTTTTTTCTAATTAAATAGCTAGTTTAACTTTTTCAGCTGCATATCTAATGTTTCTCCATTTTGTATTATTATTTTTTTTTTATGCGGTTGACATTTTTAAGGGTATTGTGACAATAGCACAGCAAATGACTGCAGACTCCCTAACGGAACAATTGACAAATCTTGTGAGCACATGGCACAGTTTTGGATGGTACCTCCAGGATGCAATCCTCCTCCTAATGTACCTCCAAGTCAGCCAAGTTGTACAATAGAAATGTACAATGCCTGTGAACTCATCAAGGACAAGTAAGACAAATCCAATGCTTTAACCTTTCAAAACCTAATAATAACAGCAAAATTGTTCTGTTGCATAACTTACTGAAGCAAGTTGTCTATATAGACATCACAGGAAAGCTTCTGACTGTTCCAGAAAGTATATAATCATGCTGCCTCCTAAGATACATTCTTTTAGCCACATTTAGCAGTTTATCAAGACATTTTGCTAGTGGGGACCCCTGACTGTTCCCAGCAATGTGCTGATTTCAGATTTACTTGTGTTGGACTTTTTTTATACCACCCCACCACCTCAATCAATCAATCAATAAATCAAAAATAAGAATATAATAATAATCATAATCATAATCATCATAAAATTAAAAAAGCAGCCTAGATCTGACCCTGTGTCCCACTATCCATTCTAAATAGTATGTGAGATTAGAACAAGTGTGTCCTAAAACATAGTATGTTGAAAAGAGTATGCTAAAAGTCCCCAGATGGTCGATTATTTCTGGTAGATTTTTGAAGTGTGGATCTGTGCAATCTCTAAGGCTAATATTGCCCATAATCCATTGTGCTTTGGAGAAGGATTCAGTTCAGAACTACAAACACGAATAAAATGCATTAAAAACTACAAACATGGCAGATGTGTGCAACCGACGGCTGTTTAGATAAATGAGTTTGATTTACTAATAATCAGCATTTAACCTGCTAAAAAATATATATATTTATTTAATGTTATCTGTGTTATATTTCAGTTGCAACAACAATGTGAACTTTTATAAACATCCATTTGGCCATTCATTTTAAAATGCATCATCATGCAAATATGAGCAGTGTTCTCCACATAAAGACCCATGGCTGGCAGATTAACATGCTACTTTCTTTTCTCTCCAATACAGTAGGAAGTTAAATAAAATGTGAAGGATGTTAACTGTGACAAGATGATTGACAGGCCAGTTTAAAGTGACAGGATGCATGTAACTATGTGACAGAACAGTCGGGTATGACATGATACACTCTAAAAAATGCTGGGTTATTTCAACCCAACTTTGGGTCAAATATGGACTAACCCAACATTCGGGTTAAATTTTTACATTACATTTTTAGCCCAAAAGTTGGGTTAGTCCATATTTGACCCAAAGTTGTGTTGAAACAACCCAGCATTTTTTAGAGTGTAGTATGTCCCAAAGCTTGCCTCTACTACACACTCAAAAGTGTGTACTTTTTCTTCACCAAAAGAGTACATACTTTCAGTAGTGTATAAAGTACCTAAAAGCTATACTCAAGTAAAAGTACAGATATCTTACCAGAAAATTATTTTGGTAGAAGTTGAAGTCACCGTTTAGAATATTACTTGAGTAAAAAGTCTTAAAGTATGTGATATTTATTATACTTAAGTACGAAAATTAAAACGTACTTAAGTATTGAAAGTAAAAGTACAAGCAAATGCAAAATGGAAAAGAAGCAAATAAAAATGTGTCTTTCATTCCAACATAAGAAAACATTTCTGGAATCTGCATCAGAAATAGCATTTAGATGTATTTACAGTTTAAGGGGACATGGATGCATTTAACCTGCAGTTATAGATGGATAAATAATGTTTTGTTTTTAACATCAAACATTGAATACTGATATTTGAAATGATTTTAAACATGAAAAAAATTGTCGAAATGTGAAATTAAAACTGCCAGTAGGTGACAGCAAATGACTGTTAATGAGTGAGTCATTGAGATTCAACAGATTCGTTCAAACGGCTAATTCATTCAGGAACAAAGCATTTAACTCTGTTAATGAGTGAATCACGGAATCATTTATTCAACCGATTCGTTCAAAAAGCTGATTCATTCAATAAGTAAACACCATTGCTCAGAGACGCAAAACAGTGCTGTGATCTTTGTTTGTAACTATTTTCATTGGCAAAATTGAGCAAAAACAAGCAAAATTATGTCTAAAATGTAAGTCACTTATTGCTAACTTTACTGAACTTAATAAAATGATTATTAAATTAGTTATCATGCTGATATCTGCAAAAAAACGGTACTCTTTGTGTAAATATAAAAAGCATACAAAAGCATTTTTGCCATCTACAATTTAGAATGCCTTAAATTTACTCTGTTTGTGTGATTTGGTGATATACTCGATAATGTCAGATCGCACATCATTACAACAACACTTACCATATTATCGCATATACTGTATATTGCACGCACAGACTGGACTTGAGTGGAAAATGAATCATCCGCGGTTGTGCACGCACTTGTTTGCACGTGAGCAAAGGTGTTTTTTTAGGAGTCTAACTTGCAGACGCCAGACCATTGATTCGTCAAATCTGCTTTCCTGCAGTCCGTGTTCTTCTGACTTCTGACTATTTTGTAGTAAGTAATGAATATGCTTCGGGGAAATGTATCGGAGTAAAAAGTATACATTTTAATTTGGAAATGTAGTGGAGTAAAAGTAAAAGTTGGCTGAAATAGAAAACTCAAGTAAAGTACAGATACTCCCAAAAAATACTTAAGTACTGTACCGAAGTATTATTACTTTGTTACATTACACCACCGTATGCTTTAAGGGTGTAGTATACTGTAAGTAGGCACACTGGGACACAGCATGACTGTTACTTGTAGGCAGTAGGTAGCAAGGCAGCTAACTCGGTTTTAGCACAGAGCTAATTAATCATAAGAAAATTTGATATACAGTAATGTGTAGTTTGCTTGTAATACTGAGTAGCACTATTAAACTTTATATTATTAAACCATCATATACTTCAAGTCACCATTTTACAGTGTTTTAAAAGAACATTTCATCCAAACAATGAAAATATTGTCATTCCAAACCTGAAATTATTTTTTTTCTTCTGTTGAACACAAAAGGGGGCATTTTTAAAAATGTCCTGCTCTTTTTCATACAATTACTATTCAAAGTTAATTGTATCATAAAATTGGTCCATAGGAATTAAGCATTATTTTCCTTATTTTCTGAAACCATACAATAACAGTGGGTGTGGCATTACCCATTCCCATTCAACTTAATTTTTGGAAAAGATTCTTTAAAAAATTAACCTTTTATAAAACAAAAAAACACAACAAAGTCACATGGGGACTTTCCTTTAAGGACCACTGCAAAATTTAGCTCCAGCCCTAATCAAACACTTGAACAAGCAGGTGAGTTTGATCAGGGTTGGTGCTAAACTGCAGGACAGTGAACCAAAATTTTTACTTAAAGGTAAACTATCCCTTTAAGTATTTTATTTCTAGCTCTGAAAAATAGTTATTGTTCCTTTTAAAAGTAACACTTTTGCATTTTCTTCACAGATTATTTGAAACATGCCATAAGGTCATTCCATATGGAAACTATTATGATGCATGCAAATATGATGTGTGCAGCCTTAAAAATAAATCTGTTGCGTGTATCAGCCTGGAGACCTATGCACAGCAATGTGGCCTAGAGTCTGTCTGTGTGGACTGGAAAAATTCAGCTGACCTTAAAGGGTTATGTGGTAAGCCAGCAGAATTAGCCCACCATTGCAGTACTTTATAGCAGAGAATTTCTGTATTTTTTAAGGCATCATATCATTTTAATATTCCACTTTAATACTCCTCAACTGTGGCAAGCCATTATGTTGACATGGTAGACATACCAAATACAGTTGCACGTTGCACTCAATTCTTTCATTGTTGGTTTCCATAACAGAATACAAGTGCCCAAGTCACAAAGTCTACAAGGCATGTGGGCCTAAAATAGAAAAAACCTGCAGTACAAGGTAATGGTCTAATCTCTAGTCATGACATAACATCATCTTTGTGTGGAGTAAATGTAATACTGAATGCTCCAGATATTACGCTATGTAACAGTCTTCTATTGCATTTAAATACCAGATACAATGATGAGTTTGTGGAGAACAATTGCCAAGGCACAAAATGTCAAAAAACATTCATGGAAGGTTGTTTCTGTCCTGACAACACATATCTAGTTAGTTCAACGATAGATAAATGTACAACTAACTGCGGTAAGAAATGTTACTTAATTTACTCTTTGTTAGATAAATGCTCTGATGACATTCTTTTGATGATTTTGTATCAATCCCTCCTTGTAGATTGCATTGGCCCTGATGGATTACCTAGATTGGTATGTCTCTATTCTGAATTACATTTTCCTTCAAAAGCAATATGAAATGTAGGATTGTGGTTTTAGTAACTTCCAGTGTTGAGAAGGTTACTTTGGAAATGTAATAGGTTACAGATTACAAGTTACCCTATTTAAAATGTAATAGTAGTGTAACTTTTTCAATTACTTTATTAAAGTAATGTAACTGATTACTTTTGATTACTTTTTGATTACTTTTCTAAATTTCTAATGAATGTTGTCAACTGTTAATCATTTTCAAACATTTACACCATGCAGGGTTAACCTTAGAGTAGTGCTCAAGACTGTCAGACTTTCAAAATCCTTTATCATTTGAATTAAGATGATAAAATGTGAACACATCCACCACAAAATCAGACTTTAGTATCACCTTTTATTTTGAGATTGATCTGAAGGTCAATGCAGATTTAAAATAATAAGAAATAGTTTACTGATACTGTTTTTGAAATAACTACAGGAAACACTGCATCTAACAATGCTTTGGATTTTTTTTTTAAAAGTACAGTAGGGTAGGCCTAACCATGGGCCTATGTTTTTTTGGCAAATGGATTACCATTTGTCTTTATTTTTACTACAAATTCCATGGTTAAACTATGGTTAGTGTAGCCAAAACCATGGTTAATAATTTGTGGTTACCATGGTTAGGTAAAATCATTGTTAATTTCCGTAAGGGTTGTGTTGTTGTCTGCCCTAGCTCCCCCTAAACCTATTATAAACGTTATGATTATTTTATCTGCTAAATTACTACTGTAACTTTACAGTAGATAATGATGTACTTTAGTATACAGTGTTTTGAGTGATGATTGATGAGCAATGGGCTGCTGCAGCTTAACTAAGTAAACAAAGACAAAACTACAATAGCATATTTACAGATGAAACTGACCTGCACTTGAAATCCTGAACAGTAATTTTGCTTCTTCTCCACCTGTGCGCTTATACAATCCACTCAAATCTCTTGCATTGATTACTCTAATCTAAATTGTTTGGCGAAGGCGCGGAGTGTGCGTGAGCCAAAGTGCATTCCCAATCACGACTAACCGATTCATGATTTATAAGAGATTTATTATCGAATGTTAAATTCGGAAACAATCGCTTTAGTACATTCGGCAGGCAATTATATAATAACAATGATATTAAAAAAGCGGGAAAAATCAGCTGCCAAGCCACCGGGAATTGTCCCGGTTCTCCCGATGACCAGTCCGCGCCTGATTTCCACAGAGACACGCAGAACGTGCAGGATTCATATATTGTCTTTTTGCTGCTGAATATTTACAGACCATATCGCGTTTTGATTCAAGTGTACTGACCTACTTTTGATTTATTCGTCCAAATGTTGCATATTCCGTGACATTCCGCGTTATAGGAATTCCAACAAGTCCGTGTTTTCCGCATCGCGGAAATCATAGGGCCGTATGTCTCATATTTTAGAGTAGTCAGAGCAATTTGGGAAAGAAATCAATTAAATCTTTATGTGGATGTGTGTAAATATTCAAATGTAACCCCCGTTGTAATTGTTAACATTTTCATAAGTAACTGTAATTTAATTAACTGATTACAGTTACATTTATTTAGTAATTAAATTACGTAACGCCGTTACATGTAACTAGTTACATGGTAACTTCTTTGTTAAGTAAACAGGGTCCTACTCCATCATAGGATTGAACATGCAGACTTGTGTTCATGACCAAAACTAACTAGCATTTACTAACTTTCACTAATGATCTTCTTCTTTTGTAGCCTGGGCAAACATGGACCTTTAACTGTACCAAATACCACTGCTCCAATGAGAGCTTTGGTATTGTGAAAGAGCCTATTATGTGTCCTACCATAAAACCATGTGGCCATGAATACAAAACAACAAATGAAAGCTGCTGTCCAATCTGTGGTTAGTCAAAATGAAAAAAGTTTTAAGTAATTATGATTGAATGTATAAAACTTGTAAGTACTTCTGACATAGTACGTCATAATAAAGAAGATAAATAATTTGAACCAGACAACCACTTGCAAGGCATTTAGACAGCTTGATAACAAAAATAATCTAGTTTGATGATGATCCACCTTTTTTGCTGTTTTATCTCTACCCATTTAGTGTGTGATCTCCAGCTGTGTTTTCAAAAGAAATGTGATGTGGGATTTGAATTAGCAGCAACTATGACCAATAATAGTTGCTGTCCACCCTGTGGTAAGATATATTTCTCCTTCGTCTTCATTTAGACCAGTAGCATGAGTAATAGTTCACAAATCAATGCTGTTACAAACTTAAAAATCAAATTCAATGGATATTTTATATTTTTTTATTAAAATAACAAGTAAAAACGGCATTTACTGAATTAAATTAGTAAGCAGTTTCTAATATTATTTATTTTTCTGACCAGTGCGCAAAGAAGTCTGTGTGTACAATAACACTGAATACAAGGTGAGATGCTAGGTTCGTTTGTTTACTCTAATTACATATGATAGGAAAAGCCTGGAATTTTAAAAGGACACTAAGGCAAACACCACTCTTAAATGTAATGCCATCTTTTCCTGTGTTGTAAATTTTTATTTGTCAGTTCTACCACGTTTGTCTGCATTTGAAGAGCTTTGGCCTTTTATTATAATTATTTTTAATTTTTTGGTCATTGAAAAAAAAGTCATGAGGGGTTGGCTTGTTGGGTTCACATTCCTAACTTGTTTTTTCTCTCTAGCCTGGAGTTCAAATCCCTGTGGATCCTTGTGAGGAATGTTACTGTGAAATGAATAGAACGACTCAACTGCATGATGTGAAATGTGGTACTAAAGTCTTTCCATCTTGCCCTCCGGTAATAATTAAAGTTTTAGTTTGGAAGCTTTATATTATAAAGTCCAACCATATATAAACAAGTCACTGTACATCACACATTTCGCTATACTGTCTGCATAGCCTCTCTCAAGGAGAGACTGTTGTTAATACCATCTCATTTAGAGAATGTCCTGTAGGCCTACCTCTTCACACACCTGTCATCTCTGTCCTCTCTGCTCACCTTCTCTTACACCATTGGTTCACAATCCTGGTTTTGGATGTCTTCTTTATTTCACACACACATTGTCACTTGCCTGTGGTCGTGTGAGTAGATTCACTTGCTTAAACTCCACACAACATACTTGTTTTCTTTGTATTTCGTATGGCTGTTGCTTTCTGAAGTATTATGATGATGATTTTACAGTAGTGATGATGTGTTCTTGTTTACCAGTAACACTGTGGCTCACTGACCAATTACGTTCATCCTGATTCTCCTTACTGATTTAGTTGACACTGACGCCACTTTCAATCTTGTCACATTTAGCTGTACTCTCTGTGCAGCCTCTCATAGGGCTCCAGACTGCGACTAAAATGGGCACAAATGCAAATAAAAAAAAGAATTCTAAATTTGTGACAACAATGTAAAATCGAACAATCTAATCTGTCACAGGAGTATTTACTTGCTATACAATCGTACATTTTATTATAGTAATAATATGTATTATAGGCAGCTAGCGTTATGTGATAATGCTTAACATTTGAAACTATGCAATACATGCATTACACATCTTACCTTTGTGGATTTAAGACAAATTGGAGGTTATCTTAACTTTAAGAACTTATTTGCGATGATTTCAAAGAGCGTTCTTTTCAAGAATTTGAATTATTCTTGTGAGTTCGACCCTGGTTCTTTTTAGAGTCTGTCAAAATTAGTGAATTATTAAAACTTGTTTTTGCACTTCAAGGGGTTTGAATATCTGAAACAAAAAGGAGAGCACTGTGGATCATGTAAACAAAGAGTCTGTATTTATGATGCGCCAGACAACACCAGACATTTTCTCAAGGTATTTTTGAAAATATTCTTAAGCTTTTCTTCAATCTATGAGTTCACTAGACAACGAATCTGCTCTATTCTTCAGTCCTCATATAGTCTGTCTGTCTTTTTGTTTAGGACCAAGAGGGTTACAAGTTCAGATGTACGACTGCTACCTGCCGTGAAGTGAATGGCACATTTGTGATGATGGAGAGCATTAAAAAATGCCCTGAATTTAATCCAGAAGACTGTGAGCCTGTAAGTAAAAATTATAGTTTTTCACTATTTAAATATGTACTTTTAGTATAAAAATGTGCAAAATGTTTTGGAAAATTGGGTAAATGTTTTGAGAGACATGACCATATTTGTGTAATGTGTAAATGTTTTATTTTCTGTTATTTGTGTTTTTACAGGGAACATTACAATTTGACTCAGATGGATGTTGCCAGATCTGTAAGCTATTCTTTATACAAAACATCCGGACACACAATTAAAAAAAATGTTTTTTTTTTATGGGTTCGTTCACCTGTATTGTTTATGTAGATCATTTAACAAATGTTAAATTGTTATAATATAATAGGCACTACTTAAAATGCAGTGCGTGTTTTGCTCTTGAGAGTCAGTAACAAGCTTACCTGCCTCTATTGTATCAGGTAAGTCCAGGAACTGTGTTCTTGAGAAGAACGTCACCCGTCTGCGTGTTGATGATTGCACTTCCATCGAGGATGTAGAAGTTACATCCTGCACTGGCCACTGTGACACCAAATCAATGTGAGAATATGAACACACCTATTGATCACAAACATAGTCAATAACTTTAGGAAATGTTAGGAAACTTTAAAGGAAACATGCTACTTTTTATGCCACTGTATGTTAATGTTATGTTAGATTAGTTTATCTAACATATCTAACAGTTCCCACAACATAAAGAAATAATGCTTTAAAGCAGTATTGCGAAACCACATAGAAATATGCCAATGAAAAGTGGGGGGAACTGACTTCAAACATGCTGCTGAAAGGTCTCCAAACAAAAACGGCTCAGGAAAGTGAACTTAGATCTGGGAAAATCTCTAAACATCATTGGTTAGCAATAACCATTTTGGTTTGATATTTTGTCATCTCTCCAATAAAATGAATATATTTTTAAGTGTGCCTTAGGCATCCAAACCTTTTTGGGTATATTAGGATAGCATATCCAACTATTCTACACTCATCTGACTGATGTTTGCTTGGAAACCTGCACAGGTATTCAATGAACACAAAGGCTATGATACACAGCTGTGCCTGTTGCAAGGAGGAGAACGTCGACCATCAAAATGTGACGCTGAAGTGTGCTGACAACAGTGAGATTGTTCTTGACTACGTGCACATAAAGAGCTGCAAATGCACTTCTACTGAGTGTGTAGACCAGAAGACCTCTGGCTAAAAGATTAAAATAAAAGACTTCTGCTGATTTAAACATAATTCAATGTCATATGAAAAAAACATTTAAAAAAATATAACCAAAATGATTTAAGCTGATTTCTGTAGTTTATTAATAGCTAAAATTACTTAAGCAAATATTGCACCATTTATTTTTTCTTTGTGGTTTAATCTATGGATATGGTTAACTCTGAGCATAATCTGTTTAGTTTTCTCTCAAAGGGGATTCTGGTCATTTCTTTCATTCTTTACAAAGTTTGGTAATGCATGATATAATATTGTACTTTTCCTTCCAATTAAATGAATTATAATCAATAAAGCATAATACAGAGCATCAATTGCAATCTTCTGGATTTGATTTATTTATTTTTGAATACCCAGAAAAGTGCCAACTTGCGTGCACTTAAAATAAAACCAAGCACCAAATGCTTCACTTCAAACACTACAAATCCAAATGTCTTACAAGTACTCACAAATTGTGAGCTGGAAGTAATTTAGAGTGTTCATTCTCTACTTAAGATAAAACGTAAGATTTCCATTTTAATTGTGCCTATTGTCTTCATGTTGAATTGCTGAACACTTTTGCAGCTATTGAGGTTAGGGGCAGGTTTGGTGGTATGGTTAGATTTAAGCGGTAGAGGTAGGGTCAACAGTATAATTATAATATATATATAACTACAGAATTATTACAGATGGAATTACAGGATGGGATTTTTAAGTGCAATTGAAAAAGCATATTTTAGAATGTAATTTATTTATTTGATGCAAAACTGAATTTTCAGTAGCCATTATTCCAGTGTTCAGTGTCACATGATCCTTCAGATTATTCTAATAAGACATCTCTTACGTATTCTTTATTTGCGCGTAATGCAAAAGAAGCAAGAAATATCAGGCATGAAACAGGGTGTGGATTTTAGATGGCATAAATAAGCAACAGTGGATCAGCTGGTTGTTCCAGTTATCTCATATTGTACTCTATAGGAAATATATTTGAATATTGACTTTCGATGGAAGTCTAACAACCACGGAATGACTCTATGGTGCATGGGTTAGATCCTGTCTTAAAGTGGAAAAAAAACAAACAGGATTTCTAAAGTCTGAAAAAGGCCACCTATTACTATCAATTTGTTGAGTTAACTCAACTAATAACTGACAGCTTAAATACTTCATGTGTTTGTTTATCTAATGTGTAATAGGTAGTCTATTGAATCTAAAATTTCTTGTCAAGACAACTAAAGATTGTTAGCATTTAGCAATGCAAGGAGCTGTTGTTACAAACCCCACTGTATGACATTGACATCATTTCCTTTTCAAACTACAGACAAACATATTACCCTAAAATATATTAAATCCAGCTGTTGCAATGAGCTGTGCATATATCTCAACACACATCTCAAACACAGTGATGATCAACAAATGTTAATTTAGTAAAAATATGAACTCTTAACCATATGACAGCTAACAGCAGTGTATTTTAAGCCAGTAAATGATTAAATGTTTTATTTATCTTATATATAACATTTGAGGAAGTTATTTTGCATGTTTGAGTAAGACATTCTGCCATATATGAGAGCCAGATGTATTTTGGAAGCCTTGCGGCCTAGCTGACTATGTAGACCACATGGCCTAGGTGACTGTGATCATGCATAAAAAGTATAAGGGAAGCACATGATACAGCACAAGAGATGGAACAAAAGGAAATGGTGCGAGAATGAATAATGTGTATCTGATGTGCAAAGCTCTTTAAAATCTTGACAGCTCATTGAAAAAAAATCCTGAATGTATATGCCTCTGGGACCTTTGGTCATCTAGAGAGGGTTAAATAACAAAACAAAAAAATCCACAATTAAAATTAAGCCAAGGAAACTAATAAATAATTGTAGAAAGTACCAGAAATAACACACCAAAAAATAGTCAATACGCTCATTGGACAGTGACTGATAACAAAATTGTATAAAGAATTGTCTGGACTTAGACAGATTCAGATGGTCAGCTGGCATGTCGGCTTTGTTTCTTCCAATAAAGTCTTATTTGGTCTTCTGGAACTCCGGCTTTGACTATTTTTTGCAAGACTTTGACTATTTTCTACATTACATGTTCTGTGAAGGAATGATCATTTTTTAATAAGTTATGACATTTTTTAAGCTGCAATGCATGCTGGCAGTTTGCCCAAAATAGTTTGTTCAGATGAGTCAATTTGGAAAGTTGGGACAACATTTGGACAAGTTTGAATACTTGAGTATCCAAGTAAGATTGACAAAACAGCTGTTAGAAACATAAACATGTTTATGTTCAGTTCACATAATACAATAAATTGACTCCTACTAAGTGAATTTAATTAACCAATTAACTAAAACTAAAACTATCTTTATTCAGGCTACTTTTTTACATTTGGTAGAACTTATTGCAAGTGGAAGTATTGCACCTTTTTATATGTACACGGGGTGGTGGCGGAGTCTTTTGAAAGCATTTGAAAGATTTTTCTAAATTTTAAAACAGATTATTGTAGTGCACTAAAAGAAGAAAATACTATTTCAATATTTCTACTTGAATATTTTAATTCAGTATGTTGCTTGCTGTGTCTTTGTGATTAATTATTAAAATAGGTGGAGCAAATATAGACAAAATAATATATTAAATAATAATGCTTTAATAATAAATAATGGCCTAAACGTACAATAAATGCAAATGTATCCTGCTAGCCCAGAACAAGCATTAGCTAAATAGATATTAGTTTAACTTTGCATTATACTGTGCAACTTCTCTAGAAAATAGTTGCCTCCCCACCATCAAGACTCACATCCTTGTTTAGTTTGAGTTTTGTCAGTTTAAATGCAGTTTTGTACATGACAAAGTGTTTAGTCTTAAACCGCTATAGGCCAATAAACATTTATTTAAAATTCTATGGTACTGTATATTCTGGGCTCCTCCTTCTGATCACAAATTACATCCTTACAAAGAAAACTAGCATTCACTATAAAAAGACAAGTTTTGGCAGGTAGCTCACATTAGCTCTTGAGGATGGTTGTTCTCTCCATGGGGGCTGTGAGGATGTCCCAGATGTGGATGCTGAGATGGGTCGTCCTACTGGTGGGGCAACAGCTGATACAAGCAGGTTAGAAAGAAAAAAAAGATTAGTTACTGCAAGAAACGCTCACAGTATTAGCTACACAACATGACTGTATATGTCTTTCCCTGTTTAAAGGCTTTATGGAGGATTATGGAGTAATGGGAGATTCTAGTGACTTGACTATGTGGCCAACAACAACAGCAACATCAGGTAAACATATTGTGTTTAAGGATTATGAGATGTACCAATCACATTGATTCACAAAGAAACTATGAAGTTACAAAATTATTTACAGATTTCAAGTAAAACTGGTGCTTTATGTATGTTTAAGGTATGGAAGCTTATTTTGGCCATGGGATAAAAGAATAAAAAAGGTCATTGCAACTCACAATTCAGGCATTTTTATCACAATTGCAAGTTTATATTTCACAATTCTGATTAATTTTGAAGTTTGGTCAGAATTGTGAGAAATAAACTCAGGATTGCAAGAACAAAAGTCAGTTTATATCTCGCAGTTCTCACTTTCTCTCAGAATTGTGAATTATTTATTCTAGGAAAAAAAGTCTAAATGATGAGATAAAAAGTTGCAATTACCTTTTTTTTAATCCTGTGACAGAAACGTGGACCTAACGCATTAAATTCATGGGCAATTTTTTTTTTTTTTAAAGTGCTTGGGATAATTGTTACAGACACGTCACATAAATAGAAGTAATGTAAAGACTAAAATAATTAATAAGCAAACTAAAAACAACAAACAAGAGTAAACAACTTTTCTTTTCACGAGTGGATATTATTCTATAAACTTCATAAAACATCTCAAAGGATAGAATAGTTTAAGCAAAACCATGCTCAATACATAACATACTATACAGTGTGTGAACACTGGAGTAATTCTTTGCATTCTCTTTTAGGCTATTCTGTTCCAGTTCGTGCCAGTAACCATGTCAACAACATCTGTAGCATGTGGGGAAACTTCCACTTCAAAACATTCGATGGGGACTTTTATCAGTTCCCAGGCATGTGCGAGTATAACCTGGTGTCTGACTGCCAAAGCCTCATTTGCCAGTTCTCAGTTCACGTGAAGAGAACAGAACACAGCACTGGCCCAAACATCAGCAGAGTCCTGGTTACCATCAATGACATCACCGTCGAAATCACCGCAAACCAGGTCATGGTCAATGGAGAAAAGTAAGATTCAGGGGAACTGAAGTGCTGCTTGCTTCCTCCCACAGCAAACACAAAATAGATAAAGATGTAAATGAGTTTTAATTTGAATCTTTTCTTTTATTTAGTAAATTGCTGCCCGTGCACGTCGCAGGGATTCTTGTGGAAGAGAACACAATTTACATAAGACTCCATTCAAAAATGGGCATCACTGTCATGTGGAACAGAGAGGATGCAGTCATGGTGAGTCATTTTTGCCTGTCAGTTTTAGAATACAAGGAAAGGAAAGGACATGTGGCCAAGTATGGTTTGGTTTGTGCTCTGCATTTAACCCATCCAAGTGCACACACACAGCAGTGAGTAGTGAACAAAGACGCACACACACACACACACACACTGTGAACACACACCTGGAGCAACGGGCAGCCAATGCTGCGGCGCCCAGGGAGCAGTTGGGGGTTCAGTGCCTTGCTCAAGGGTCTCACCTCAGTCATGGTATTGAGGGTGGAAGAGAGCGCTGGATATTCACTCCCCCCACCTACAATCCCAGCCAGACCTGAGACTCAAACCCACGACCTTCGGGTTACAAGTCCGACTCTCTATCCATTAGGCCCCAACTTTTTTTTTTGTACAAATCAGTTAGTCTAATCAGTCATCTGACACCAAAATGTATAACGTTAACCCTGCATTTATAAATACAGAATTTAGTGTAAACTAGTCAAATGAACTGTAGATATTTATAATTCATACATTATCTTATGATGGATTAATGGTAAGTAGATATTGGCCAGTAATATGTGCACTGAACTGGAAGCAAATACTGATACAACTATACAGTAGGCCTAACCTTAAAATAATATTAAGTCTGACCGTTAATGCCATGATGCAGGGGTTGTTGAAAAGCTGTCTTTCCCTGTGGTGCTGTTGTAGGTGGAGTTGGACTCCAAATTTTCAAATCACACATGTGGATTGTGTGGCGATTTCAATGGGGCTCCACTTTATAATGAGTTTATTCAATCAGGTGAGTTGATTGACTATAACTGAATGACTTCTGCCGTATTTCATCATAATTTTGTAATTACAGACAAGACTTGTGTATTGCTAATTTCATGTATCTCCAAGAAGGTCAAGTGTCTTTGTTTAATCCATGTCTTATTTTATTCAATAAAGAATTAGGATATGAACGAGAGGTAGGCTACATTGAGTTTGGGAACAAGCACAAAGTTCCCAACCCAATGGTGGATTGCAAAAATCCCTCTGAAGAAGATGATGAGCAGAATTTAGAAGACCAGTCTGAAAAACATGTAAGTTGCAAAAGCTATCTGTATGGGTCGGTAGACCTCTAAGGATAAGGGTTAAAAACACACTGTACCTGTATCACTACAGCGGACAGATTGTGAAGACCTTTTGAAAGATGCAGACTGGTTCTCCTGTATCAAGATTTTGAACCCTGAGCCGTATATCAAGGCCTGTATGAATGATATGTGCTTGTATCAGCCCGAAGACACTGACAACTCCACGCTCTGTGCGACTTTGTCTGAATATTCACGTCAGTGTTCCCACGCTGGGGGAACTCCGCCGACCTGGAGAAGAGCTGACTTTTGCGGTAATAACTACCACTGAGCTCTGGTGGATGTCCCATGATTCTTCTCTCTTGAGCTTTTCGTTTGCTTTTATTTCTTGCTCTTTTGAATTATTCATTAATTGCCATTGTAAAGACTGTATGTCTTCCTATGAATCCCTATGCAGCTGTAGCATGCTCCTACAATATGGTACATTCTGAAAGTGGCTGCCCCTGTATGGACACATGCTTGCACAAAGACACAAACACACTGTGTGAGCAACACAACATCGACGGCTGCTTCTGCCCACCAGGTCATTCCCTAATTCATAATATTTAATAGAATTTTAGTGCCATCGTATATACAGAATTTTATTTAATGTGGCTGATTTGTTTAAGAACCACATATAGAATAAATGTTGATTTTATAGTACAATCACTAAGACACATTTCATAAAATGATATGTGATATATAAAATTATAAAGTTTTTCTCAAAACGCAGTTTTAAAACAAAAAAAAAGTTCTGTTTAGGAACTGTATTTGAACTGTTATAGGAACTGTGTTTGATGAAATCTCAAACATGGGCTGCATCCCGGTGGAAGAGTGTCAGTGTAAGCATGACCGCGTCTACAGCACAGGAGAGGTTCTTCACAAACATAACGAGGAATGGTAATAAAACACATTTCACTCTGTTCTCCTTTTACATGTCTTTAATTAACCAATTAACTAAAACATGCTCTACACCACATTGTTACATTGTAATGTAACTGTAGTCCTAAAGGTTGTTGTTTACGGTGTCTGTTTGTAATTGTATTGCATAACTCAGCATATGTAAGGAGGGAAACTGGATCTGTACAAGTCAGTCCAACTGCCCCGACCGTACTGAGAGACTGGACGATCCCTGTTCCTACAGCAGTGACAGCGGTGAGAGACTTTTTGCATAGATGGCAGAGCATTTACTTTGTGTTATACTTGTATAGGATGGTTTAGCTCGTGTACTTGTAACACCATATGTTACGATGCCTTTAGAGCACTTTGCTGAGCACTGGTGTTCCCAGATGAAGAAAAAGGAGAGCGTTTTTGCCCAATGTCACGCCAGTGTCAATCCAGACAGCTACTACAAAGTATGACTTATTTTCCAAATTGTAATGAACGTTACCCTGCTTTCCACAACATGCAGTGACACAACGTGTCTATGTGCTTTCAGAGATGCAAATACTCCAGCTGTACCTGTGAGAAGAGTGAGGACTGTCTGTGTGCGGTGTTCTCCTCGTACGCCCGGGCCTGTGCAGCTAAAGGAATAATCCTCCAAGGCTGGAGAGAAATCGTGTGTGAAGACCCCTCAGGGAGTGGTGGAGGGTACAGCGGTTTCCTTTGCAAACGCCTGGAAGGCGCAGTCCAACTGCCCCGACCGTACTGAGAGACTGGACGATCCCTGTTCCTACAGCAGTGACAGCGGTGAGAGACTTTTTGCATAGATGGCAGAGCATTTACTTTGTGTTATACTTGTATAGGATGGTTTAGCTTGTGTACTTGTAACACCATATGTTACGATGCCTTTAGAGCACTTTGCTGAGCACTGGTGTTCCCAGATGAAGAAAAAGGAGAGCGTTTTTACCCAATGTCACGCCAGTGTCAATCCAGACAGCTACTACAAAGTATGACTTATTTTCCAAATTGTAATGAACGTTACCCTGCTTTCCACAACATGCAGTGACACAATGTGTCTATGTGCTTTCAGAGATGCAAATACTCCAGCTGTACCTGTGAGAAGAGTGAGGACTGTCTGTGTGCGGTGTTCTCCTCGTACGCCCGGGCCTGTGCAGCTAAAGGAATAATCCTCCAAGGCTGGAGAGAAATCGTGTGTGGTAAGATGGCCGAAAGCAGATTCTTTTGCTAGACAGATATATGTGCATCATCTAAGCTTAAAAGGGGTTGTTCACTGGGTTTTTTCTAGGCTTGATTGTGTTTATGGGGTGCAGTCTAACATGTTAATGCTTCGTTTAAAAAAAAAAAACACATTATTTTTCACATAATTTACCTTTATTCCACACCGCTCTTTCCCTTCTCTGAGAAACGGGCTGATCTTTTCCTGTTTTTATGAAGCAAGAAATTTCCCTATTTTCCTATTTCCCTCAGAAATAGGCGATGGGCTCTGATTGGTTAGCTAGCCCAGTGTGTTGTGATTGGCTAAACCGCCTCTAGTGCGCGTCTAAACATCCCGCCCCTCTCCACAGCAGCTCCTCAGTTGTATTGTAAACAATGACATCTTTAATATCGCTTATCATTTTGAGCCTGATTGAGAAGCAGAGGATATTATTGAAGAGGATCATGCAGAGCCTGTGCAAGCACGGCTTTTAATTGGTAGGCCTATGTTTTTTGTTTGTTGTTGTCTCATACTTTTAGATACGCTGTTGTAAATGCTACTGCTTATGTTAGCTTTTAATATATGGTTTTATCCTGATTAAATGTTTAATGCTTCTTATAGCTATGTGAAAATAAGAGTATAATTGGAACAGTTCATTGTCCGAGCTGAGCTGAATGAGAGAGAGAGAAAAAGAGCATGTGCAGAGCGTGTGCAGAGCAGGGGAACGTGAGGAACAGTATTGAGAACCGCTGCTTTTGAACATTGATTTTGAAACCTGTGAATCCATTAGAATCGTTAGAAGACATAATCACGATTCATATATGAATAGATTTTTACGTGCACCTCTAGTTTTCTCTTCCTCTTCTCTAAAGCAGTGCAGCATGGCCTCGCCCCCTTTGCTGCCTTTTCCCGGGGGCGGGGTTTATCTGGGTTTGTGATGTCCCGAACCCGGGAAGTAACTTGTTGTAGTCCCTACCAGCCATTTTTGTAGGCATTAAACTGCCAGAATTTTAAAAGACGATATCTCCGTTTGCATTGAACTTTCATCTTCGTAACTTTGCAGACATTGTTTATGCTCAAACAACAACATTACACACTAACTAATGTTAAAAAAGTGAAATCGCAATCAACCACCCCTTTAAAGAATTTTTGGATTTAGGTGTAACTTGGGCAAAACCTCCCTTATATAAACCCACAATTTCCCTCATATCCCGGACAAAACACAGAATGCCAAACAATTAGCCTATATTTAAAATATAACTTGGGGAAGTGAGACTGAGGTAAAAACTAATACATCCTATTGTATTTCAAGGTGTTTTGTAACAACTTCAGTTAAATGAAAGCAGCTATAAGAATTGCCATTAGAATTGCTCAAATAAAAGAGGTCCAATGACAGTGTACTTTATGTTAGAAGTGAATTCAGAAAAAAATGCAATAAATGCATAAATATAAATCAGTAAGGTCAACCATTTTACTAGCTATTGCCATCCTCAATATAAGTCCACGACTCTTTCAAAACTGATTTTCAACATATCTTGTGGTACAGATTTAATTTTTTAGTGCTGCAAGCAGCCTAGTAAAAAATGGAATAAAGATAATACAAATGTATCTGGATAGATGGCCTTTTCTAATAACCCATCCATTGGGTCTGTAAATTTCATAAATAAGCTTTTCACTTATTATAGGGCTCTGGAATACTTGATTCTGATTGGTCAGTGGTCAAGCAGATATTTACTAAAGTTAGTTGTTGTCCTCTACTATATATCAGACCATTTACAATATATGGTTAACTGAAATGGCATGCTCTATAATGGTCACATATATTACAAGCTAAATATATATTTAAAGAGGAGAAACGATCATTGTGTGGATAGTGGGATGACTAACAGGCAGTACGTCCACACATACACTCAGTTTTTTTAGGTTAGAGTTTTTGGTTCTGTTTTGGTTTTGTAGAGTGCAACATGCATCTTTAAGACACAGTCCCTTTCAAACTGATCCCCTCAGAGAAATATACAGAGAATTGCCCGGCCTCGCAGAACTACTCCTATGAGCTGCAGAGCTGTCAGCGTACCTGTCTGTCTCTCGCCTCTGAGCGCCAAAGCTGCAGCATTGACTTTGTGCCCGTTGACGGATGCGCATGTCCAGAGGGACTCTACCAGGATGAGAATGGACTGTGTGTACCTATGGAAAAATGTCCATGTTACAACAATGGAGTGGCAGTCCAACCTGGCACATCTATCAACATTAAGAATGAACACTGGTGAGCGGATGATATTAGTTTTATGCAGTAGTTGTAAAGATTTAAAACTGTTAAAATATACACTTTCCAAACTGTGATCTTAAAATCTTAAAAATGTCTCTCCAGTATTTGTGTGAATGGAACATTCCGCTGTCTGTCCTGGAAACCTCCAATTGTGGGTAAGAAGAAACACTTTTGGATACCTCTCTTTTACACCCAGAACTTGAATCAGGTTAAGGGAATGTGTGGTGATCAAAATGATGCCACGAGTGATGTTAACATGTATAGAATTAATTATATTGAGTTAACTATAATTATGGTCACACAAAAAGAATGATCCTATCAGATGTTTGCACAGTGAAACAATTGGCTGACCATTGTTTAGAAATAAACTCCAGTTTCTTACGTCTCCAAATATGGTTACCAATATAAAACTCTTTCCTATGAGTCTTTTTTTCACTGTCTGGTATCTTTTGCAGAGTGTCCTCCTCCAAAGGTTTTCTTCAACTGCAGTACCGCACGTCCAGATGAACATGGATTGTTGTGTGCACAGACTTGTATGCAAAAGGAAATTGATTGTGTAAGCCCAGTTTCCAATCTGTCTTTTCTCATTTCACCTTTATCCTGCTAATAAAGGAGCTTTTCACCTGGCAGTGATTGAAGAGGTAGTTTAAAAGTATTTTCCAGTGCTAATTGATAGTTACTAAAACACTCCAGTAGCACAATGCCATATCATAAGCCAAGTGATCTCATTTTCATTAACTTCAGTGGGTTTTATTGCAACCAGAACTTCAATTAATGTGCCTATTTCAGAATTAAACATATCCTCAGAGATGTCCACTACAGTGTGAAAAAAGCTCTCTTGTAGAAATTGAACGAATTCTGTTAATACCAATTTTAGCAAATATATCAAAATAGAGTTGGCAAATGTACCAATGATAAAAATATGAATTAATTTTATTTATTATTTTGCATTTTATTTATTAATTTGATACATTTAGATTCTTGTGTTTATTAGAATTACCTTGTTTTTTAGAACTATGTTGTTCTAGAATTAAAAAATACAGAACTCAGGGTTTTAATCTTAGATATGTCTCAAATATTGGTTTTGCAACTTAAAACATGGTTGCAAAAATGTAGAACCTCATTGAAAATGTTTGTATAATATGTGACCCTGGACCACAAAACCAGTCATAAGGGTCAATTTATAGAGATTTATACATCATCTGAAAGCTGAATAACTAAGCTTTCCATTGATATTTGGCCGAGATACAACTATTTGAAAATCTGGAATCTGAGGGTGCAAAAAATCTAAATACTGAGAAAATTGCCTTTAAAATTGTCCAAATAAAGTTCTTAGCAATGCATATTACTAATCAAAAATTACATTTTGATACATTTACGGTAGGAAATTTACCAAATATTTTCATGGAACATGATCTTTACTTAATATCCTAATGATTTTTGGCATAAAAGAAAAATCGATAAATTTGACCTATACAATGTTTTTTGGCTATTGCTAAAAAATATACCCAAGCGACTTAAGACTGGCTTTGTGGTCCAGGGTCACATATTTAGTTATTCCCTATTTGTGGAAAGTGCTAGTTAACCTTTTTTGTACACTGATTATAAAATGCTTTTCAAATATTTCAAATATTCTTTCTTTCTCTTCTACTTTGCTGTCTCTGATCTTCTTCATCCAACCACACCCACAGTTCTCGCAGGACTGTGAATCTGGCTGCCAGTGTCCTGCAGGTCTACTGGATGATGGCAGAGGAAACTGTGTTAAACCTTATGACTGTCCATGTCCTCACAATGGACAGTTTTATGCACCAGGGACTGAGATAACCGTAGACTGCAATAACTGGTGTGTAAGCTACAGTCTTTTCCACGGCTAATTAGCACTTTTTGTAAAGTTACATTGAATACAAAGCCATAATACTTGACCCACATAGAATCTAAACCTGGATAATTCTACTAAAATATCAATGTATATTATTCAAAATCAGACCCCACCACTTTTTTTTTATTTATTATAACTGGGGCCGCATGCCCTCCCCTCCTGGTGTCTGACTCTGGGCATTCCTGTTACTCAAATGTGACCCTGGACCACAAAACCAGTCTTAAGTTGCTGGGGTATATTTGTAGCAATAGCCAAAAAAAAAACATTGTATGGGTCAAAATTATCCATTTTTCTTTTATGCCAAAAATCATTAGGATATTAAGTAAAGATCATGTTCCATGTAGATATTTTGTAAATTTCTTACCGTAAATATATCAAAACTTAATTTGTTTAGTAATATGCATTGCTCAGAACTTTATTTGGACAACTTTAAAGGCGATTTTCTCAATATTTTTATTTTTTTTGAACCCTCAGATTCCAGATTTTGAAATAATTTCACATTTTCAATGGAAAGCTGGTTTATTCAGCTTTCAGATGATGCATAAATCTCAATTTCACCAAATTGACCCTTATGACTGGTTTTGTGCTCCAGGGTCACAAATAGTAGAGGCTAGCAGGTTAAAGGTTTGATTACCATGGAATGTATGATGAAATAAATATTATAAAATGTATACCTTGAATTGAATGTAGTTCACTTTGGATACAAACATCTATCAATGCATGTAATCCCAAAAAAGATATCGACTAGTTGGGTTTTTAGAACATACTGTGGATTCACATAGATTCAAGTCCACTTTCTGTATTACTTTGTTACAGCACTTGTCAACACGGAACATGGACATGCACAAAAAAAATCTGTCCAGGCATCTGCACAATATATGGAAGCGGACATTATAAAACTTTCGACCAGCAGAGATTCGGCTTCAGGGGAGAGTGCAGTTATATAGCTGCTCAGGTACCACCAGACAAGTACTTTTATTTTCTGTGCACCTTTACTGTGCCTATGAGACATACGACTTGCTATCATAGTGACACTACGGCATTTAGTATAATACTTTTTTATTATTACAAATAAACCACTTTAATCAGGAGGCAGCAAGAGGGGTGGCATAATGTATGTTTTTGTGTTGTTGTTGTTTGTAATGTAATGTCCTCTTGTTTTAAGGATAAATGTGGAAATAAGACAGGAATTTTTCATGTAATCACTGAGAATATTCCTTGTGGCACAACAGGGACAACATGCTCAAAGGCTGTTGTCATCCTTTTGGGGGTAAGATTAGGTTTCTATATGATCTCTGTATGAACAAACCCGAATGGCATGCAAATTTCAATACAACACATTGCATTTACTGTTAAAACAAAGGATTTCTTTCGTATCTATTCCACATTATCATAAATTAATTCTGAAATTAGTTTTTTTTTTTCTCTTACAAACTTTTACAGAGAACTAAGCTAGAGCTTTATGGTGGGACTGTAACAGCTTTTGATATGGAAAGTGGCCCACAGATCAATTACAACAAGACAAACATTGGGATGTACCTTGTCGTTGATGCTGACATTGGACTGACAGTTTTGTGGGACCGCAAAACAACTGTCCGCATCATTCTGCAACCTCAACACATGGTGAGCTGAATTAAGGCATGATTTAGAATTTATTCCATAGTTGCATACTGCATAAATACAGTATTTCAAAAGTTTGGAAATATTACAATATTTAAATGTTTTAATGAAGTCTATTATGCTCAACATTTTTGTTAAAATATACAGAAAAAACACTAATATTGTGAAAGAGTATTGCAATTAAAATAGCAATTTTTTATTGTAAAATGTAATTTATTCCTGTGATGCAAAACTGAATTTTTTGCGTAATTACTCCAGTCTTTAGTGTCACATGATCCTTCAGAAGATTCTATTTCGAACAAATGCTGTTCGTTGAACTTTCTATTCATCAAAGAATACTGAAAATGTTTCCACAAAACAAAGCAGCATATTAGAATGATTTCTGAAAGGATCATGTGACACTAAAGACTGGAGTAATGATGCTGAAAATTCAGCTTTGCATCACAGGAATAAATTACATTTTAAAATATATTCAAATAGAAAATAATTATTTTGCATTGTAATAATATTTCACAATATTACTGTTTTTGCTGTATCTTGATCAATTAAATGCAGCCTTGGTGAGCATAGGAGACTTATTTAAAAATATATAAAAACTGTAATGTTTCCAATGTTTTAATAAGTACAGTAACCAATATAAACAGAGAAGATATTAATGTTGGTGACCGAACTCCAGAGATATGTGATCTTTATATTTTCACAGGGAGGCGTTTGTGGACTATGTGGAAATTTCAATGGGAATGGAAAAGATGACTACACTACTCAAGGCAGTTTGCAAACCACAGATATAATGGAGTTTGCCGACAGCTGGAAAGTGTTAGGCACCTGCCCTGATGCTGCACCAGACTTTGACCCATGCTTTAGGAACCTTGAACGAGAGCCATGGGCAAAACTACAATGTAGCATCATAAAGGACCGTGAAGGTGCTTTGAAACATTGCCATAACAAGGTAAAGTTTGAAAGCATTTTAAATCAATAAAGGAAGTTTCCTATAATGTGGTATACAGGAATTCAGCATAAAGGATGGAAATGCTTGTTCCCACAGGTGGATCCAAACCCATATTATGAGAACTGTGTGAAGGACTCGTGTGCATGTGACACAGGTGGAGATTGTGAGTGCTTCTGTACAGCTGTTGCAGCTTATGCTCAAGCCTGCAATGAGGCAGGTGTTTGTGTGGACTGGAGAACCCCTGAGATCTGCCGTAAGCATCTTTAATTCTTGTGCACATCCTAAATCTGTAATATCCAAATGTGAATTTTCATGTAGATTCAGAATCTTCAGCCATTGCACTTTTACTGTATTTAATTTACTCTGTGTGTATCTGTTCATACTTATGTCCATATTCCCATATCAGCTGTGTACTGTGACTACTACAATAAACCAGAAGGATGCACATGGCATTATAATCCTTGTGGTATACCTTGCTACAAAACCTGTCGCAACCCTCTTAGTATCTGCAATAACACTTTACCCAACCTGGAAGGTGAGTTATCGAAGACTGAGTATTCATAGTACACAACGGATGTTTCTTGGACTTATATGTAGTGCTAAACATTTTTTAATGATTGCTAAGTTTAGGGACCATTGATACTGGGCCACGTAGAAATGTTCATGACAAACACCTGCCATTTTTTTTTATGCAGGATGTTATCCAAAATGTCCAGAGGACAAACCTATTTTTGATGAGAAGAATCAGGTCTGTGTGAAAGAGTGTATTCCCACATGCTATGTCAATGGAATCGAGTACAAGCCTGAAGAGAATATACCAACTGATAAGTCCTGTCATGAGTGGTATGGACCATGATGTAGACCCTGACAAAGTATATAAAGCATACATTTCTGTGGGTGGTTCCTCCACCTGTTACTCTAATTCAACTTACCTAATATGTGACATTCTTTTGACAGCATCTGTAATGAACATGGCAATATAAAATGTTTTCGAACACCTGGTAAGTGAAACACTAAACACAGAAAAAAACATTTGTAGTTTAAATCCTGACAAATAGTTACGATTTTCTTTTCCTTATGTATTTTAATACTCACAATAATCTAAAAATATGTTGTTTTGCATCTTACAGGGTGCTGTAACTATGGTGGAAAACAATATGGTCACAATGACACCATTTACAACATTAAGGATGACATGGGAATGTGCTATTATGCAGTTTGTATAAATGCCACTGTGATCACAACACAGAAATCCTGCACAACATCAACAGAAACACCATCTACAACTTATACAACTACTAGCACAACACCTACTTCAACATTCACAACTACTCCTACGCCACCTGTGTCAACAAAAACACCACTTGTAACTAGTACAAGTACTGGCACAACACCTTCAACATTTACAACCTCTTCCACTACTACAACTACTCCTTTGCCACCTACCTCAACAGAAACACCACCTACAACTAGTACAAGTACTGGGACAACACCTTCAACATTTACAACTACTACAACTACTCCTACGCCACCTGTGTCAACAGAAACATCACCTACAACTAGTACAAGTACTGGCACAACACCGTCAACATTTACAACCACTTCCACTACTACAACTACTCCGACACCACCTGTGTCAACAGAAACAGCACCTACATCTAGTACAAGTACTGGCACAACACCTTCAACATTTACAACCACTTCCACTACTACAACTACTCCTACGCCACCTGTGTCAACAGAAACACCACCTACAACTAGTACAAGTACTGGTACAACACCTTCAACATTTACAAACACTTCCACTACTACAACTACTCCTACGGCATCTGTGTCAACAGAAAAACCACCTACAACTAGTACAAGTACTGGCACAACACCTTCAACATTTACAACCACTTCCACTACTACAACTACTCCTACGCCACCTGTGTCAACAGAAACACCACCTACAACTAGTACAACTACTGGCACAACACCTTCAACAT